GTCGAGGACTAAACCGGTCGTAAGTCGAGGACTACCCAACCGGTCGTAAGTCGAGGACTTTCCCTGCCCGGGAGCGCCGCACATGCGTGGTTCCGCCCCCTGCGCCGGCCGAGGCGTAGCTGGCAAGCGGCAGAGATGGAGCAGGCCGACCACCAGCTGGCCCAGCCCAAGGGAGGTAAGGCACCCGCCGGAAAAGGGGAAAAAAATGGACAAAAAAAACGGCGGACAAAAAAAATGGCGGACAGCCTTGCTTGGCGACCCCCATGAAATGGTCGATCGACCCCAAATGGGGTCCCGACCCACAGGTTGAGAACCACTGCTATAAAGTCACCAAGAATTGGACATGACTGAAGAAAAGAGAATGAATGAATAGTATCTTCAATTCATAGTGATTCTTATTAGAGCAATTACAATAAGCTCAACAAACTATGTCTTTTGTCACCCATGTGCTTGGTTTATTTCATCTCATTTATAAGCCTATTATAAATGAATTAATTAGGCTTAACTGTCTATATAAAGATAAAGATTTCCCCTGTCCAGTCATTTCCAACTCTAGGGGGTGGTGCTCATCTCCATTTCTTAGCCAAGGGAACCAGCAATGTCTTGAGGACATTTCTGTGGCCATGTGGCCAAATGACTATATGCTGAGGCATACGGAACACTGTTAGCTTTCCACGGAAGTGTTACCTATTTATTTGCATTTGCATGTTTTCGAACTACTAGATGGGCAGGAACTCACCCTGTCCTGCAGCACTCAGATCTTGAACCCAGGCTGTCAGCCTTTCAGGTGACAGGCTCAGCATCTTTAATCACTGAGCCACTGCACCCCCATGCTGTCTATATAGTGGACACCAAATTTGGATAATGCAAATAATATGGATAGTAATTTACAGTGTAATTGGACAAAGCAGGAATTTAGACAAAGAAAATGTACGTCAAAGTGAATCTTTTCAATTTAAATATTGCAGTGTAAATGTTATACCAAGGTAAGGAATTATGGACTCTTACTGAAATATGAATGGGTGATAGAAAAGTTTTAAGTTCCCTGAAGCCTCTTGGTTTAAAATTGGCACTGAAGTACTCTTAGGACAGGAACACCAGCCAGCCATATTTGAACAAGCTTTTAGTCCCTTTTTTCTGGGACAATGTTCTGAATTCTCTTCCACTGATTTTTCAACATAAATCTCTCCTGACATTTGTAGAAAGAGTGCTTTAATTTGGGGTCAAAATGTATCCTCACTGTTCTTAGAATTGCTTTAAAAGATATTTTTTTTAAAAAAAACAATCTTGAGTGGATTTGATATTGATAAACACTTGTGCTGATTGGAAATTATTTTAATTATAATAAAATATTTCTGGAATTGGGGAAACTGAAGATATGTCTTTCAGTAGTCTGTTGTGCTAGGGCATTTCACAAATAGAAGGCTTCGGCTAAAATGTGTGTTTTAGTGAATTATGTACAAAGAGATTGAAGTTATTTTAAAAAAAAAATAAGGAAGAGTTCTTATTTTATTGTCACTGTTTGAATATTTCTGTAAGCCAGGCAACTAGAAGGTAGTGTTTTTAATTAATTTTCAAAATTGAATTGAATTGTAAATACGTAGTGAAACAGCACTGAATCCTAAAAATCTTAGTGTTTCAAAGAATAAAGTTGGTGTAGTTGCTAAAGGAATTACAGATAAAGATTGTGGGCTGATAAAACACTATAAAGCTCTTTATATCTCTTCTAGATTTACATCGTGTCCTCCCCCCCCCCCAAATGTTTGGGAACAGTTAGATGCTGTATTAAAGGCTTTTTAATATACTGTTAAACTAAGAAACATATGTGGAGGGAAACTGGTTCCAATCAGATATATTTGAGATCAGTCAAAAATCACTCTAGATTTTCTGATTATCCATCAGTTAGAACAGATATTGAACATAGATTAAGGATGTAGTCCTACTTGTCCTTTATTAGGAATAATTTCTTCAGTAATTGGTAAGATTTATTCTTGAATAACCATAAGTAGGGTAAGGCTGCCTTTTTTAATGTGCTATTGTGAAAAACAAATGGCTGTTGCTACAATATAGCTATATGCACTTAGGGTCCTGCATAGATGATGGTGGTTTATTAAATTTGTATGTCACTCGACTCCCATTGACCCTTTATTGTGTTAAAGGGGTTTGGGGTCTTTTCCTACAAAAGTTAACTATATCAAATGCTAACATTTCTCTATTCAATCTTCTACTCAGGTGATTGTCAGCTGCAGACACCATGTCGAATCCAGAAGTGCACTACAGACTTTATATCACTAACGTCTCACCTGAACTCAGCCATTGATGGCTTTGATGTGGAGTTTTGCAAAGCCCTCCGGGCCTATTCTGCTTGTACCTATCGCAATTCCAAAGTCTGCCGCGGCAACCTGGTCTATCATTCTGCTGTGCTGGGTATTGGTGATCTCATGAGCCAGAGAAACTGTTCTAAAGATGGTCCAACATCCTCTACTAACCCTGAAGTTACTCATGATCCTTGCAATTACAGCGGCCGTCAGGGAACCAGAGATTATCGCGGAGGAGAGCAGATTCCCCCTACTTACTTTTTCTGTGGCTTGTTTGGAGATCCCCATCTACGGACCTTTAAGGATCATTTTCAGACATGCAAAGTGGAAGGGGCTTGGCCGCTCATAGACAACAACTATTTATCAGTGCAGGTGACAAATGTTCCTGTGGTCCCAGGATCCAGTGCTACTGCAACAAATAAGGTATGCTTGGTGTCAGATGTCATGTTTTATCACCTAGCTTCAGAAGCTCAAGAATATTGTGAAAGTGTACATTGTTTTTCAGAATAGCTGGAAGTAATAACTGTTGTGGTGTACAATCCATTGTCAATGAGAAAATGAGCTTGATTTTTGGCAACTAAAGAAAGGCAGAGTTGGCCAGCCGTCAACTGCAGTTTGCAACTGATCTGAACAAACTTGTTCTTGTGGTACTGGTGTGTATAGTTTTGGAGAAGAAAATAAGAGTGCTCAGATTTGTGTACGTGATGTTTTGTGTTTGCTTTCAGAATTTTCATGGACAGGATTTTGGTGGTCAACATCTGTTCACATTTTGGAGAAGGGTTTTGTAACAGGAGGGGAAAGGTTACAGAGTGGCCCAGGTTGTGCATGTGGGTAGGACATGGAGAGGTGAGAGGGATGGGCTTCAAAATAATTTGAATAATTTGAAAGATGGAGAGAGATGGCCTTCAAAATAATTCCAAGCTCACTTGTGGTTCTAAGTCAACAACTATTTTTAGGTGACATTTCCCTAGATTTTGGGTAACTGTAAAATTGGACATAAAACTATTGGCTTGGTTCACTAAGCTGGCTTAGTGCAAGTAGTAGTTCCTCAGTATGGTATTTTGGACATGTATTTATGATGTTCTTGGTGAATATTCAGATTGAAGTCCCAGAGTTTCATAGTCAGCCTGACTCTGATCAAAACACTTATGCTTCTTTCCTTGATAAATGAAGAAATGTACATTCGCTCTAGAACTGCATAATGCTTTGTTGAAGAAAACTCAATAGGAGATGGTCCTGGAATGAAGAATGTGAGACACTGGAAATAAGGTTTTGATGTGAAGGGTAATGTGCTACTTTCATACATGATAAGTCAGAAGGATCTTTTAACATGTATTGAGAAAATAAATAATAAAAGGACATCATAGATTGCTTGTTCCTTTAGTTATCTGCGAGAATGTTATTCATGGCAGTGTGTGATATGTTATGCATGACCTGATTCTGAATATGTTTCAATCCAGTGTATTTATTCACCTGACATGCCTAAACAAGTCTGTAAAAGAGATACTCAAGTGCCACGTTTTATGTGCAGACTTAACACTCAAAATATTTTAGAACTGTGTTCAATAGGTTTACTCCCCCTCCAAAGGGGGGCAGGAGCACAACAAAAGGCTAAACAGACAAAAATAATTTTATTTTTAAAACAGCAACTCCAACTGAAACATTACAAATGTGCAAATCTGGGTTTGCAGCTCAAGGAAGATTGTGAGCAATGGGAATTGTTTTCTATCCAATCTATCTGAAACAATGCCAGATTGAAAAAAAGGCTATTGAACTAAGTTTAAGGCTTTCCGAACATTGTTTCCCATCTCCCCAAAGTTGATACTGTTGTGATGGTCACCGCAGATGGACTTTAGGACACTCAGTGTATCAAATAGACAACTTGGTGTTTATTATCACTTTGATTCTGAAAGGACTGACTTGCTCATGGTTAGTAGGATCTATTGGATCCCCCAGAATATGGAGCCAACAATAAAAGGTGTTAGTATTACTTAATGAATGAAACCAGCATTTCATCAAATAAATTGTCTTTATTTATTGTTGGCTTTACTTTCTTGAAACTGCAACCAATAAGAATAAGTGTGGACTGAATCTTTCATCTCAGGTATAATTGAATAAAGTAATCATTTTCTTCAGTGGTGTTTGCCCTTTAAAAACACTTAGAAAGCCAGTATCTTTTACAAACCTCCTGTGGCAGAAAATGTAGGAAGTAAAAATAATGAGAGGCGTATGTTCATGATCTCAAACTGCCTGTTCAGCAGTCTGCCTTGCTGTGTGTTGAGAGCATAGGCAGATATATCGGCTAGACAGATCTGTTCCTGAAGTACCATCTATTGGCATGTCAGGTCAATTACAGAAAAAACTTGGAATAGTAACATAACACAGTGTGACTGAACACAACAGGGAAAAGTTTTATGCATTAAAATGGATTGCATAATTGGTGCACCTGTTCTTTCTTTTGTCATTCCATTCTTTAGGGATGGCCTAATCCAGTTTGCAACTATACCTCTGTAGATCTAAAATGAAATCAGTCCATTTCCGTATTTAATACTGAGCACACATTGTGAACCAGTGGTTTAAGGACATTCAAGTCTAAGCAGAAAATGAAACACCATTTGGAACTCAAGAAGCTTCTAGAATGCCCCAGCCTCTAGTTCAGGGGTCCTCAACCTTGGCAACTTTAAGACTTGTGGACTTCAACTCCCACAAGTCTTAAAGTTGCCAAGGTTGAGGACCCCTGTTCTAGTTGTGCATTACAGTGAGGCCATGGAAGCAAATGGAGTTCTGCTTTGCAAGCACCCTCCTCTGAGTGCACCTTAAATAAATAAGTCTTTTTTTTTTACCCAGGAAACTTGAAGAAGCAGCAATTTTAACTATGTTTAGTCCAGTAATTCTCATCCTTGGCAGTTTTAAAATGCACGGACTTCAACTCCCAGGATTCTGCAGTCACCATGCTGGCTAGGGAATATTATTCATATCCACATTTTTTCTAGATACTCATGCATCAGTTTTCAATTGCTCTTAGGAATTAGAACTGTCATTAATAAGCATATAATGACAATATGCTGAAAGTTATCCTTTTTTTTATTCTGAACTACCATGGTTGAATTTAATAAAGGAATAAAGATGGTCAGTGAAGGTTTACGGGTGGTCATTTACTTGCTGAGTTGAGAATCTTGTCAAGAGGACAACTTGTGCAAATTGGATGTTAGTTGAACATTTCAAGATTATATCTTGTAGCTCTACATATTACAGGACTGATACTGATGGGTGCATAATCTCAACACAGAAAGTATTTAATAGAAACCCACCTTTTTTGAAGTTGGAAGCAGGCCACAATACCCTTTACAAATAAAATATTGATGCTTTTCTGGAAGGTTTAAGATATTTGATTAGGCTAGCCCTAGACTGGATAAGTTTGCACGTTCAGCATGTATTTCCTTCCCCTAATCGCTATACTGTATCACATGTTCATAATTGTTGATATAATGATACCTGACTCTTAATATTTGCAACTGTCTAGTCTGCAGTGACATCAAATTGACCTATGCAGGTAAAGATGTTGAAGCACTGGTTATCACAGATAGTCAAGAACTGAGCATCTGAAAAGCAGAGGGAACTGTTATGTTGGTATTATGAGCCATTTTTGTTAAATTTAACTGCTTAAGTTGCTGAAGACTTGCAAACAACTTCCTACTCATCTTCAGGCATAGATTAAACATTTAGAGAAAGGGAAGTTGTGCTATATGCCTTGTCTTGCTACTCACACAATACTCGCCATAGTCTTTTAGTTCAGTATCTACAGGAACTGTTCTCATATGAATGTATTGTAGGCATTACATAAAATTAGGGCGCTTGCATGGTAAGGAACCCACCAGATGTTGCCCTGAAAGAATATACATCAAAAGTACATTTTACATTACCGTATTTTCCGGCGTATAAGACGACTTTCTAAACCCTGAAAATCTTCTCAAAAGTCGGGGGTCATCTTATACGCCCAGTCGCCTTATACGCCGGAAAATACAGGTATTCAGGCAGGCTTCCAGAGTTCGGCTGGCAGGATGCAGGTAACCCCTCCCCCATCCTGCCGCCTCCCACCGCACCGCGCTGCTCCGCGTCCTGCGCCTCCGTGTCTCAAGCCTCTGTGGCACAGAACTGCTGGCGTTATGCTTGGGCGGAAGACTTTTTCTTTTACAGATGGGGCGGGTGGGCGGGCCTGACATTCGCGCGCAGGCAGGACCCCGCCCGCCGAGCCACCGCTTCCCCATCGCCCTCCACGCCAGCCCGCTCCGTCTCC